TATATATATATATATAAAATCCTATTATGTTTGATGTTGATTAACAGTTTCAGCAAGATCATTTGTTGTGAGGATTGCTGTGTTACTGATGTGGCTTATTGATTGTACTAGCAGAATTAGAGCAGGTGCCTCTCTGGGATAAATTTTTAGGGGATTAATTGTTGTCTTGCTTATTACTGATCTGTATGCAAACATTTGGGTTTTGGGGTGTGATCCAGATACAGACTCTTCCATGCACTGATGTGGTTACAAATGCTCACATGAGATTTTTCTGTTTGAAGAAAATAAAAATGGAGATGGCTTTAAATCTCAACGTAGACCAGGAGGTTAGAGGTTGATGGAGTTAAAACTGCTGCTGTAATGACCTGCATGTGGCCATCAGAATAACATTTATTGTACGGCTTACAGCTGAGAAATACTAACTTTTTTTTCTAGTCACTTGATTGCTGTCTTTCTCTCTCTCTCTTTCTGTGCTTAACATAATTTGCTTAAAACCCCTTTAATCCTTCCAGATAATCTGTGAAATGGTTCTCGCCCCTCTCTCCTTTTCCCTTCCCCAACCCTTGTGTCTACCTTTCCCGATCTCGTCCCCTCTGGAGGGGCTGGCCGTTAAGCCCCGCTGAAGCACTGGCATTAGCAGGTTCAGGGCTGAGGCTGCCGACATACACTGCGTCATTAAAAGAAGTAGCACGCTACTAAATTAATCTCCATATCCATTTTTTAACCCAGAAACAAATGCTTTTACTTTGTTCCATGGGAATTACAATTCCAACATCAGCATGTTCTCTGTTCAGGGGTTAAAACCTAAAACATTTTTTTCATGCTCAGTATCCACAGACGATAAATGTAGAACGCCTTCATTTAGAATTTTTCTGTGAGTAAGTGGTGCATCATCCTCTGACATGGTTCATTGCATCTTCTTGTCATTTCTTTTCACCTTTTTCTTCCCATATTGGCCTAATAATCAGTGCTGCTCACATTTTCCACTTGACCTGACCCTTTCATCACAGCTGACCCAACTGTGTGTCTCAGATCCCTCAGATCAGCTATGCCTCCACTGCTCCGGAGCTGAGCGACAACAGCCGCTATGAGTTCTTCTCCCGTGTGGTCCCCCCAGACTCCTACCAGGCCCAGGCCATGCTGGACATCGTCAAGGCCATGGGATGGAACTACGTCTCCACGCTGGCCTCTGAAGGGAACTACGGAGAGAGCGGCGTGGACGCCTTCCTTCAGATATCCAGAGAAGCAGGTTGAATTTCAAGCCCGGATGATTGTAAATTTGCTTCTGTGACAATCAGGGATTACCCACCAAGCTGTGCTGCTCTCGCTTATTAAAAGACTAAAATCGGAAAGAGCAATCCTTTAATACTCAATGACAAACAATTGTAACTCATCCTATAGGTCTGAAAGCACAAATACTGTTACTAATCTTTCGTTTCAATACCATTAAAAGTCATGCATTAGTGACAACAAAGGGCAGCTGTCACATCACCACTTTGATGTTTTTGCAGCACTTTTGATAAACAAGCTGTGGGTAAAGATCTTAAAAAGCTAAACATTCATAATCCCGAAAAACATTAGAGAAAATCTAACCTTATATGTAAGTCAAGTACTTCAGTTGGAAAAACATTTTTTATAATAGTTTTAATTGGCATTATTGTTGGCACCACGAATACAGGCTTTTTAAAACAAATGCAAACAAATAGGTTTAAGTTTATTTTTCCATGCTTTGAAGTTGGTTATTCTGACTATTAGTCAATAACTCTCTGTTAACCACTAAGTGTGTAAAAAAGGCTGAACGTTATAAATCTGTTGCAAAGAATGGCATTCTAAGGTTGACTAGGGTCCAAAACAGCATTAGTCTCTGCCCAAAGTCCTAGGAACCATAATAAAGTGTGTGGCATTATGGACTTTTTGTAACCTTTTGTTACACCAATTGGGGCTCTGAGTTCCTAACATGGATCATTTTTTGTAAGGATTTACAATCTCTGGCTAAATCAGTAGACATGGTTTGCATGATTAATTGATCTATTGCAGAAAACTGCAGATAGATGAAGAAAAGGAGAAAGATCTGGAGAGATGAACCAGAGTAACAATGAGAAAAAGAGATATTGTCATCATGCCAGGAAAAGAGGTTTAAGCTTTAAAAGCTTTGCCACTGTTAAAAAGAAAATGTTTCTCTAAGTTTTGAGTATTCCTAATTGGTGTTACACTATCTAACTGTAATGATGAAAAAATTTTTTGTTTTGTTTTGTTCACATGTCTTTATGAAGGGGCAGCAAAAGATTTACTTAAAAACCTGTTTTGATTAGTTGGTAGGTAAATCTGGAGCAGACAGTCATTCTTTCCGGTCAGGGAATTGGAATAAGTCAGATGATAACCCAGATACAGAGTTAAAATCTAAAAAATCTAAATCGTTTTTGTTTTACACAAAAGGCGACCCTCCACATTAACATCTTTAACACTGTGCTAGCTAAACGGTGGCATGTTAGCAGAAGTCTCAGAGCCCCTTGCACTCTTTAATCTTTCATCACTAACAGCAATAACCTATTATGCCTCACTTACTGCAAAAACACAAAGTCACGCAAGTTACTCTGTGAGGCTGTAGTCAGAAGCATCTTGATGCAACACGATGCATGTACTGAGTTTTATTAATGACGTTGTTTACATTTGAAAAGTTCTGATTATCCAGGGCACCAACTAAAACACTATCAAACAACTATCAAAATGTAACTATATATTGTAGAAATATTTTACAATTAGAAATCCAGTGCAACCATTGCCTTTAAAAACACTTAATTACAGCTCAGTTGTGTGTAATTAGCCTCGGTATAAGTACAGTCATTCTGAAAAGGCCTCAGAGGTTGGTTCATTGCATGGTAGGGACACAACATACATGTGGAACAAGGTACTTTGGTCAAAGAAGTAATCAAGAAGTCCTTTTTTTAGACTATGTTATACAAAATATTACCACTGCTGTTACCATTACACTTATTTTCTACAATTAATGTTGGTGATAGATACTGTTGGAAATGGTTTTTATTAGCAGTTGCATGGTTTTGAGTGAAAATTGAGCAAAATAAAGGGAAATAAATAACAACATAATAGAGGCTCAAAAAGAAATAAAGGGGGGGTTAAAGTTCCTCCTTATTTAGTACAATTGCATCAAACATACAGCAGAAGCTACAATGGATAGATTTATTTCAAAGCATCATCATGTGTTGGAATGGTTGAGATCAGGTTTGACTGTATTTGTCAAGTGTGTATCCTGCACAAGGAATATGGAGTGTAATATATGAAGTGTAATAAAAACAGGAAATAATGGATCTACTAAAAATAATATAAGGTAGAGTAAAAGGTGATTCTAAAATACGGCCCCCAACCTTTTTAAAGCTTAGAGTTACTTCATTTCAAATATCTATAAATGCTTTAAATGATTAATATGATGGAATGTTATATAAATTATAAAAAAAAAGTAGAGCAACAGAATAAAATAAAACTTTAAAACTTAGCCCACTGGTTAGTAGTTCTGTTTTCAGAAGACACTGAGAGCCCCTATTTGGTCCTTTAGGGCCCCTATGTGCCTGTGAGCGCCGTGTTGCTGACCTCTGATCTCAAAAGTAGAACCTCTTGTAGGCTAAATGCGAATGTGTATCAAAATGATTGGGTTTTATTTGAAGAAGTGATCGATTCCATCCAATGATTTATCTCTGCTCTCATTTTTGGAAGAAATCCTCCATAGAAGACAAAGGAAGGTTTTAACAAACTGTCAAAAAGTTCAAGCTGTTTCAGTTTTGCAGTTTTAGAGTATTTGCAGATATGCAGTTTTCTAATGGTGATTTCTCCCATGAAAGGTTTAATTTCACAATCTTTTCCTGCTTGACTTATGAAAAAAAAATCTCCTTGTTAGAACATAGAAACATAAAGGTGACGCAACAGGCCCCAACCTGCTGAAATTTAAGATTATATGAGAAATAAAGTCACTAAAGGCTTTCAACTTTAAACAGATTTATAAGAAACAATTTCTGAAGTTTTGGCTCTAGCAAAGTCCACTGAGCGCCAATCCTACAAATGGAAAAAATCAATGTACTGTAGTGAATTTACTCAGAAGCCACTTTCTAAAATTATTCCAAGACTGCATCCACAACTCATTCAGAAGTTCACAGAAGAACCCAGAACAATATCTAAAGCAACGAGGGCCTCACCTCCCTCAGCTATGATAATGGTCCATAATTAGACATTAAATATGACACAAAAAATGAGGAGGGGGAAATACCTTTATTCAGAACATAAAGTCCCACCAGCATTTGCTATTTGTGTTTTGCAGGGGGCATATGCATTGCTCAGTCTATAAAGATCCCAAGAGAGCCCAGGCGAGGCGAGTTTGACAAAATCATAAAGAGATTAATGGAGACTTCTAACGCTCGTGGAGTTATCATCTTTGCTAATGAGGATGATATCAAGTGAGTCGAGCTCTGCAGCTTGCTATGATCTGGATATTAAAGATGATCTAACATCAAAAGGAATCTTTTTCGTCTTTCAGACGCGTGTTACAAGCTGCAAAAAAGGCCAACCTGACAGGCCAGTTCCTTTTTGTTGGATCTGACAGTTGGGGGGCCAAAAGCTCCCCTATCGAAGATCAGGAGGAGGTGGCAGAGGGAGCGGTCACTATCCTGCCGAAAAGAGGCTCTATTGACGGTAGGAGAATGTATCAAATCTGATTAATGCATGTTGGATTGCTGGGTGCAGTAGAAACACCTTCAAAGGGATGTTAGTCATGACGTTGATAGATGAGTCTAATAATAATGCAATAAAGAGTTCATGAATGATTGATAAGTCTGATCTGATATTTCTGTCCTATTTAAATTGAAGAAATCAGAATCCCACAGAAACTGCCTTTTAAAGATGGATTTAGACCACCAGTGTATAAGCCCCTTTAGACATTAAGAAATGTCTTACATCCTCCCATAACTCAAACTGAATAAAACTGATTGCAAAATGTTAACTGATGCAGGATTCGACCAGTACTTCACTTCAAGGTCTCTGGAAAACAACAGAAGAAACATCTGGTTTGCAGAATTCTGGGAGGATGACTTCAAGTGCAAACTGACTCGACCTGGCATAAAATATGACCCTGACAGAAGAAAATGTACCGGTGAGGAGACCATTAATTTAATCTGCAGACAACTCATAAGCCATGAATGTTTGAACTCATCTGACTGCCTGTCTGTTTCTGCTAGGAGAAGAACGAATCAGTCAGGACTCTCAGTATGAACAAGAGGGCAAGGTGCAGTTTGTCATTGACGCAGTGTACGCCATGGCCCACGCGTTGCACAGCATGCACATGGACCTCTGTCCTGGCTCCATGGGTGTCTGTGAAAAGATGGACCCAGTAGAAGGACGGATGCTCCTCCAGTACATTCGCTCAGTAAACTTTAATGGTGAGTTTTCAGCTGTCAGTCTGATTTTTCACATTTTCTGTGTCACGTTTACAAAATAGGACTTTAGGCGAACTGGAAGAAAATTGTTGAGATTTATTCTGGCAAAGGCCATTTTGAAAAAGTTAATTTAAAGGAGAGAATGTCAGAAGGGAGGTCATCTTTAATGCGCAAGCTTTGAGAAGCTTCTGCTTATGTTTCAAACTGCAGTACACAACACAGTGCTTCAAAGCGTGTCCCCTCCCTTGGGCTACCTCCTCGGTCTTTTCTGTGCATAACACTCCTGCTTTTCATCCTGCATCTTTTATAGAAAAAGAGTAGCAGTTTGGAAGGAGGGGGATAGAAAGTGTTCTATGAAAGCATCCTGTTTACTGCTCTCCTGTTCATGGGCGACCTTGGCTTGTATGGAAGATTTTCTGATTGAACGCCTGCAGGGACCTTAGAGGAGCATTCAATTATGTTAGGGCAAGAGAGCAGAGTGCACTGAAAGACTGCAGGAGGAAAACTAAAAGGAGGAGAGCTTTTACTAAAGAGCATCCAACACTAAGCTTCTAAACTTTACATAGCTGAAGTAAGAAATATCTTTTTTAACAGTGTGGGATTTTCTTTTGGCATCAATTTTACTATCATTCTTTGAGAATTTCTATCAAATTCTCAATTTTCTATCTTCTTAAAATGTTTGCTTCCAAACAACAGGCAGTGCTGGAACTGCAGTGATGTTCAATGAGAATGGAGACGCTCCTGGTCGGTACGATATCTTCCAGTACCAAATGTCCAATGTCAGCAACCCAGGCTACAGGGTTATCGGCCAGTGGACTAACCACCTGCGACTTAATGTAAATATCTGCACGTCTCAAACTTGCTTAAGAACATTTGTGCTTTTAAAAAAAAAAATCTTGCTTTAGTCTATGATGACACTAAAAGTGACTAAAAATATGATTGTGTTTTTATTTTCTCACTTAAAGGTTGAAAAATATTTTATTTTTGTGCAAAACTTGAAAAATAATGAAGTACTGCACCTGTCACTAAGGATTTATAAAACTAACTTTTTAAACATCCAAGGTAAATTTGCATCATGCTAGAGCTGTGCCCCATTTTTACTAAGAAATGTCTAAGTAAAAAAAACAAAGAGAAGTGAGTTCAACTGAGAAAAAATGCAATCCACAATGCAAGACTTTTTGAAAGATTTAGATCGTAGGACTTTCTGATTTCCAACATTTTCCAGGGGGAAAGAAATCATCCACAACAAAGACCAGGTGGGAAATTCAGAGGTTTCTCACAAACCTAACTACAAACTTAATATCTATGTTTTCCTTTAAAAAAAAATTGCGATATCTGAATTCATAAACTGTATTATTAAGACTAAATAGAATATATTTTAGAAAGCAAAATATTCCTCTCTCTAAAGTCATAGGTCTAATTCAGAAAGTCAGAGGATTTAAACCAAAACCCAGATTTAATATCCAATATGGATTCTGAGCTTGAAAAACAACAAAAGCTGCAGTAGTAAACAAACTGTATCTCTCTGTCATGATGTGTGATTTTTCATGGTACCCTTGGTAAAAATATTACTGCTTTAAAAGTATAATATGATAATTAACCTTTAGTGAAAAATAGAGCAGGGGAAGTTGTTAATGTTGCTGAAATGTTACCTCTTGATAAAGGTTGTAATGTTTTCTTTAACATGTATTCTTTGTTTTATCTCCAAATGACATACCAGACAGTTTCTCTTCCTAAACTATCTTAAAAAGGATGACTAAATTTCACTTTACTGACCAGTTGTTAGATAAAAAAGATGCTAAAAAAGGAGGACTAAGCAAAATATTAAACAAGCCTTGTAAGTTTAGTAAAAGTACGATAAACAAGCTTATTGTGCAGAATATAATAACTCATTCACTTTCTGTTATTTATAGGTAAACACAAGTCGCATAAATCAGTAATATCAGATTATCTGATGAATCAGTTTCATCTGCAGCAATATGTGGGGGAGGGGAGGGGGAGCTTGAATATGATAGTAACTTGTGAAAACTAAGAGTAATGCTAGTTTTCTTTAGCATCTTATTAAAAGATCTTTAATTGTGAGAAAAATGTAAATTTTAGTTTTTATAATCCCAGATTATTGTGATGACTTTTGAGTCAAATTAAAGTTAGAGAAAGAGTAAAGAGAAAAACATCAGCTTTAGTTATTTCCTAAGGCAGCAAACAAGTAACATTCAAATATAAAGAGGCATTTCCCGCCTTGAGAGTGTGTTTTAGTCAGATGTTTTGCAGCACTTCTGTCGGTTAAATACTAGAAGCTAAACTAACCATTGAGTCCAGCATGGTTGAAATTTATAGAATTCCAGAATTTCTGTTTTAGCTGCGTTAAATTTATCAAAAAATATTTATTTTTATGATTATTGTTGTAATGACAGACATTGAGACTATGAGTACTCATGAGTATGTGTTTGTCTATCTGCTGTAGCTGGAGGAGATGCAGTGGTCAGGAGGTGAGCGTAAAATCCCAGAGTCTGTATGCAGCTTTCCCTGTGAGTCTGGTGAGAGGAAGAAGATGGTAAAAGGTGTCCCATGCTGCTGGCACTGCGAGCTCTGTGATGGCTACCAGTTTCTGCTTGATGAGTTCACCTGTGACATGTGCCCCTTTGACATGAGGCCCCTAAAGAACCGGACAGGATGTCGGCCCACACCCATTATCAAGCTGGAGTGGAGCTCTCCGTGGGCCATCATTCCCGTTTTCTTGGCCATACTGGGAATACTAGCCACTACTGGGGTCATCGCTACCTTCATCAGATACAACGACACACCCATTGTTCGGGCATCTGGCAGAGAGCTCAGCTATGTATTGCTGACGGGCATCTTTCTCATCTACCTCATCACGTTCCTCATGATTGCAGAGCCCAGTGTGGGTGTGTGCGCCATACGCAGGCTGTTGCTGGGTCTTGGGATGTGCATCAGCTATTCCGCCATGCTCACCAAGACCAACAGGATCTACCGCATATTTGAACAGGGCAAGAGATCGGTCACACCTCCTAAATTTATCAGCCCCACCTCTCAGCTGATAATCACCTTTATTCTAATTTCAGTGCAGGTACACCTACAAATGTTTTTTTGTTAAATGTATCAGTCTAAGACTGCAGCAGTTTAATGCTTATCTCTCTCCACAGTTACTGGGGGTGTTCATTTGGTTTGGTGTGGTACCACCCCACGTTACCATTGACTATGAGGAGCTAAAGCCTCCAAATCCAGAGTTTGCACGTGGGATCCTAAAGTGTGATATGTCCGATCTATCCCTCATACTGTGTCTCAGCTACAGTATTGTACTAATGATTACCTGCACAGTATATGCTATAAAGAGCAGAGGAGTCCCTGAGACCTTCAATGAGGCAAAACCCATTGGCTTCACCATGTACACCACGTGCATCATCTGGCTGGCCTTTGTTCCTATCTTCTTTGGAACAGCACAGTCTACAGAGAAGGTAGGAAACCCAGCAGTTTAATAAATCAGTTCTATTTACTGCTATTCAATATTTCAAATATAAGGGAACAATTTACTGAGGGCTTTTAAATGATGAAAACTTCAAATTTCTATTTATTCTTAAGATTAACACATTCACAGGGACTGCATTTAAAACATATATAGGAAAAAATACTTCACAGTAATTGAAAATAGCACAATTTGTTGGGTGATATTAAAAATGTACAAAAACTTGGATTTATATGCAACAACAACTAATCACAATAAATCAAATATTGCAGACATTATTCTAGAACTGTACCGCTTAAGGTGGCTACATTTTAGAGTAGCTCTATTAGCCTGATTCAATTTAAGATAAAAAAAACTGTAATAATACTTTTTTTCATCTATATTCTATTCACATAAAGTCTTTTTTTTAATAGCAAAACCTAACAGAGTATTAAGTTGGCCAAAGGGCAGCATAAAAACAAATAGATACAGTAGACAAGAAACAACTTATTATTTTAAGTTAAAAAGCTAGAATATTTTAAATATAAGAATCTTAAAGTACCCAAAGTAAAAAGCTTTTTTGAATAAATGTGTCTTAAGTTTGGCTTTTAACAGATGCATATGACGGATGGAGTATAACTCATAGAAAAAACTGTTCTGCAAAGTTGGACCAACCACTGGTTTATAATATACTCTTAATATTAAAAGCATTCTGATGGAATTTTAGCAAGAGGATTTTAATCTAAATCGTAATTGATGAATAGATGTATTAACTATACATGTAAACAGACTTTTATGGGGGCCCCCAGGAACTTGGGGCCCTAGGCAACAGCCTAGTATTGCCTAATGGTAAATCCCCTCCCTGCCTCAGAGTTAACCCCCAAAAGCTATGGAAAAGAGGCAGAACAGGCTATACTTCTTGAGGATTTTTAGATCATTCAGTGTACAGAAGAAGATGCAACATATCTTCTTTAAGATGGGTGGGCTGAATGGTATTTGGAAAACATGCTACATAAAATATTGCTTGTAAATCTTGCAGTCTTTAATCAAACACCTTATATCAGGGATGACCAAAGCCAGTCCATAAGGGCTGGTGTCCAGCATGTTTTAGATGTTTTCCTGTTTCAGCAAATTTTTTTTTTAGATTAAAATGATTACACCACTGCTAATTATGCAGGATACTGGCAAACACTGCATTTAGCTAAAGAAAATAATTTACATGTTTTTTTTTATGTGTTTATCAGAATATTTTACACTTTTTTACACATTTGACTTGTGACATAAGATGGTGCATTTAACCATAGATAATTATAGCACTATTGTGTACAATTCAAGCAATTCTTTGTGATATTATTAGGTATAGTAATGTGAAAAAATAAATAAATATTGTGCAGCTATGTGAGAAGACTCGGCAAGCATGTGGAGAAAGGTACTCTGATCAGCGGAGACCTAAACTATTTTTTTGGCTACATTAAAAGCAAAATGAGAACACTAGCATTAACACATCACCCTGAATAATCCATTTACACCTGTAAAAGGATGGTGGCAGCAACATGCTGTAGGCATACGACAGGTACGCTGATAAGAGTTGTTTAAAAGAGGAATGGAGCTAAATGCATCATGATGCCATATCCTGTATCATGAAAAATGGTAAATTGGAAGGGTTTTGAACATTCCTGCAAAGCACTGTAGAAAAAAAAACATATACAAGGCTGACTCCCCCTAAAGAGGCAGAGTTCTTAGTGCACCGGAGCTGTTTGGAATGAATATATATTATTTAATGTGGTTTATGAGCGGCTTAAAGAGTGGGTGCAGAAAGTAATGATACTTAAGTAAAGATAATTGAATGGCTGAGTTACCCATGCATTCTACTTCTCAATCTGTCATTTTTTAAGCCACATAAATGCATTGAATGTGACAGTGAATCAAATCTTGCAACACATAAAGAAGAACACTCATAGTTGGAAAGTGAGCAAAAAGGAACCCTCAGAAGTGAAATCTCGGTTTGCTGCCTGTCATATCGTATTTGCGTCACACTGCCCTCGCCGAACATCCTGCTGCCACTGTACTTAGGGCTTAAATTAGCTTTTGGGCTATTTTCTGTCGCCACAAAGCACATATCTGTTGGAGGGATATCTAAAAAATACAGACGGGCTTTGACTAATAGAGAGCTGCATTATAACTCACTCAAGCTGAAACAATTATAGCCTAGGGGGTACTTTTAAAGTCGTTTCACCTCTTCCAACTGGAAATAAAGTAAATGAAGACATAAGAAGGACGGATGAACTGCAGAGTGATCTGGACTGCTTGCAGACCTATTTTACGTTACCGTTCAATTAATCATCACTTTGGGAATAGCTAGACTTTATCTTCTTCAAATGTCATTTAGCAACCAATACATGCAGAAGAATCAACCTGCCTGTCTGAAACATGGCAGCACACATGGCTGTTGGACATAGCCCCTTCATTGTGATACCAAATAACTGTAAACCCATCCAAGAGAAAAGTGGAAATCAAAAAGACATGGGGGAAAATAAAAATTAAAAGTAAAGGATGGCAGAATAAAGTGGTATAACACCACCTCATAAGGGGAAGGATGATGGTTTGTGACTTATTTATGGCATACATGTCTTATTCATCCAACATACACTTTGCATATTTTTGCCCAAATATTTTTTTTTTCTACTTTACATGTTTTAAGAAAAGGATTTGAAGAAAGGATGTTTCTGATTTATTTTGCCTAAATTTTTTTAGAGAGGGAGTAGCTAAACATTGACATGTTGTGAAAACCCCCAAAATAGAACATCTTCTCTGGACTACATATAAAGGGACATAAATAATTTATCAAAGGACAAGCCACAGACTCTCTGCTATAAAATGAAGTCCTCTTTCTTAGACTAAATTAAAGCCTGTTTTTTTTTTTTCCTCATTGACTGGAGTCAGCTTCCTTCATATTTTTCTCACGTTCAGTGTCTCCATTACAGATGTTCATCCAAACCACCACCCTGACTGTCTCCATGAGCCTGAGCGCCACCGTATCCCTGGGTATGCTCTACATCCCCAAGGTCTACGTCATCATCTTCCATCCAGAGCAGAATGTCCAGAAGAGAAAACGCAGCTTCAAAGCTGTGGTGCAGGCAGCCACCGTGTCCACTCGCCTGTCCCAGAAGATCAGCGACAAGCAGAACGGAGAGTCCAAGATGGAGCCGGACAGGTGTCAATGACAGGAGGCGGAAGTTCTTGTGGAAAAATTGGCATTTACTGTTTTTGACAGAAGCATTTGTTTCTACCTTTCAATTATGGATGAATACCAGCCACTGTGGAGGTGCAATATGTTCCTTTTGACAGTTGTTTATAGACACTTTACTCAACATGGAATGATGCATGAAAACAAAGAAATTTTTTAAACACACCTTCACAAAAAATTTAATAATTCGGTGCCAGCTTAAATCAAATGTAAAAACTTTTATGTCCTTTTTACCATCCAGTTCCAGTCAAAGTTTACGCAAACTCTTCATTGGTCATGGATAATCTGGGGGTTTTATTCTTGAGTACTTTTTCCTGGGGTTTAACGATCATGCAATAAATTTAGCACACACCTACTGTATGCAAAAATTTGGGGCATAGATTTAGAATAATGGTTTTTATTTAATACATATGGGGAATATGTACCTACACATCCACTAATGATCAATACTAGACTGCAGAGAAACTACAAATGTTTATAATAAAAAAAACAAAAAAAACTTTCTGGCTTTATTCTACCTTGGTATTTTACCACTCTTTTCAGAAATGTACCTTGCACTCATTCCTTAAGCTTATTGTTGGCCTGCTTCATCTATTTTAAAACCAATTTTAATCCGTTTTGGGATCAGGATTCTTTCAGAAGGTTGAAATTAGCTTAGTATTTCTCCTTTTGTCTCTAATGGCAGCTTTAAAATTAACTTTACAAAATGTACTTGAAGGAATGGATTTGAGAGAAGGGTCCTTTTTAGTCATAACCCTCTCAGTTAATATTTGTTTTTGCAACTTTAAATGAGCTTTCCCCAATTCTGTCAAAGAGAGTGGTTGATTACCAAGCCACAATTATGCCAGAAGTTTGCTGATGGATACAAAAAGTCTGGGTTCTATTGCAGTTTTTCGTGAATGAACCTAAACCATTTTGACCACAAAAGAACATTTAATTTTCAAAAATCATTGCAGTTTAATTTAGAGAATGACTCTAAAAGCCCTTAAGAGTAATCAGTGTTATGGGGAGTTCTGATCAAGACATGTTAGTGAAAGCCTTTGGGGCTGAAAAGCACAAAAGCCATATGGCTCCATAGACACTGCATGGATTATATGTTCTGTGTACATGAATGACTTTGTTTATTAGGGACAACTTTCTCCTCTCATTGCACTGGAGAGGGGGAGACCTAAAGAATATATTATGTTTGTATTGCTAGTCGGACAATAAAACCTACCCATAGCCAGGTGTTTGTACCACAATATTTGATTTTTTTTTTTTTTTTTTTTTACTAATGTAATGTTGACAACCCATTTTTTTAAGGGAGAGACGAAATTTAGGGGTAAAAAACAGGACATAGGTGATTATTAGCAGGATGTTTGTCATCTAGGTGGTGTTTTTACATTTCTATTCTGTAAGACGACGTTGGGCATTTCCCCATGTTGTTTGTGAAAATATGAAGAATTCTATGAAAAGGTCAAACTGTGTGGCAGCTCTCCAACACCAGGCTACTACTACTAAGGTTTAGATTTATGCTTTGAAAAGTCCTGCATCATGATGACATTTCTTTCTAGAAAATATTAAAAATACCATTAACATGACACCTAGCTGAATCAATAAGTATGATTATATTATCAAACACCGTAGACTTTTGAAATGATTCCTGTGTTACACCTTTTCAACTGTTTGTCTCTTTAACCATGGTTGTCCAAAGGTGCTATGCGAAGGTACTGTAACTTCAGTAACTTTTTGCAAGATGCTTCATGAAACAATACAAACTATCTAAAGGGGTTTCTTTCAATGAGTTAAACACATGATCATTAAATAAGGTCAACCATATTCATGTCAAAAGGAAAAGTTTAAGCTGCCCCCTGCAGGAGAAAACAGCACAGCGCAAACATATATTAAAACAACAACCACTGAAGACAAACTTAAATAAAAATAGTTTAATTTTTGAGCTAGTTGATATTTAGCAGGAGAGATTTAGAAAACAAAATTAATCTAAATGGTCACCTTTCTATGACATGATACTCTGCAAATAAAAAAAACAACGTTTCTGCACTTGCACACATATACACAAGAGAGGCTAATCAGAAACTTGCCAAGACAGACTGCGCCGAAAGTTACAGAAACACAAAAAAGTATGAACATCAGGCTTACTGATTTCAGTAAAAAAAAAAAAAAAAAAAGACAGCTCATGTCACTGTTCTTAAATACAAGATTAATTACAAAGTCCAGAGTGGAGGGATGGCTGTCTGGCTCATCCTCTGAACCACAACAGCATCAACAAGTTGTCTCCCGAATTTATTCCAGGAAGCTGTCCAGAGTCAGGCAGGTTGGATGTTTAGAGGGAGGCCGAGTCACCTTTTTCCTTTTAGTTTTGATCAGAGGGCGGATCTCAGCTAAAGGAGACTGATCAAAATGTTTGGTTAAGGAAAAATAACATAATGTGGATCAGACTTATTTCAGAAATCTTAAATATAGTTTAAGCAGAATGATACTTTAATCTCCTGTAAGTAATGGTTTAAATCTCCACTCTTTCTGATGGGTTGCTTCCTCTATATCAGGCATTTCCAAAGTCGGTCCTCGGGGGTCGTTGTCCTGCAGGTTTTAGAGGTCTCCCTGCTCCAGCACAGCTGATTTTCATTAATAGTTGATTAACAGGCTTTTGCTGAACTGCAATCATCAGCATCAGCTGTACTAAAGCAGAGAAACCTCTAAAACTTTGGGGATGCCTGCTCTATATTGTCTCTACAAACTGATCCGGTTAACATCTAAAACTCATTGCTTCTAACCTCCCAGCTGGTTGAAATATTAGTTTCCTTTTTACAGAAATTATACAATTCCCATTATTCTGTAATACAATAGTGTTTAGTTTGTGACAATGACTAGATGTGAGCTACATACAGTATTTCAGCTGAATGTGAAATGCAAGGATTAGAGATAAACGAAACAAAATAAATGTAAATGCTGTATGTTCGCGAAGTCTCGAAAAGCAAAGCTTTAACATTTCCACCCTATTGTAAATTTATGAACAACAGTGACACGGCTAGAAAACCATCTGTTAAAGTTAGCCTAACCTATTCTGATGAAGGCTATAATGTACAGAGGTTTGTTACTGACTTAAGTGTCCTGTTTCTTTGTAATTATTTAAAGGACATTCATCCAAACCTATGCAGATACTTAAGCCTGTATGTAAAGCTTTTATGCATGCAGATCAGAGCATAATCACAATACATTCATACTCAACTGTAGCTTAATGTGTCCGTACAAAAACAAACAAAAAAACCTTCAATTGGCCTTATTGGTCGCATCAGATTCAACAAACGTTCTTAACTCAGTAAATTATCATAAAGGATCCTCCTAACTCTGATGCAGTTCACCTGTGTGTAAAGGAGCGCCAGTTCCCGAGAAATGCACATCTAAATAATCACCGCTCAGGTAATTCCATATAAGGGTATGAAATCCCACGCCTGTGAATGGCATTGAAGATGAAGAACAAAAGCTAAAGGTTCGCTGTCAAGTTCTGCAGACTGAAGGCTGAGAAGATGAATTAAAGGAGCAGTAAAAGCCAAGAAGAAGGAAATAAATTACAAAAGCAGAAAAATGACGTAGTTGCACCGTTACAGATAAAAAAATAAAACGATATCAAAAGAAAAATCCTTTTATCCGAAAAGAGTACATGAAAACTACTGATGGAGAGAAGAGGAGCAACATATGATGTAAACGGTAAATATGAGTTCACCATCAACCAACGTGACGCGTCATTCTGCTAAATCTCCTTTTAATAAAAGCGAACTGTACTTCTCCAGACCTTGTTGGTCATCCCTTCATGCACTCTTCATCTTTCTCATACAACACATCGACATATATATAAAACTGACGACAAAACTAATTTGAAGATTTCAGACAGAAAGTCAGACAGACCCAGACTGAAACGCTCCATATTTAATGTAAATAAAGCTAAGAAGCTGCGACTGAGTGAAATAGATGCAAACTGTCGCTTTGCTGAATTTGGATAACACCTGATTGGTTGTGCAAGGCTGCTACACCAAGTCTTGAGCAATGGAGTAAAATGTGTTCTGCCTCAGAGATTAAAAATAGGAGAAAAATGTTGACTGCAAAATTTTTCCCCTGAATCAAGCGTAAGAACGATTTGAGAACAAATATTTTCTTACCAAGTTTTTGCATGAGGCCCAAAGATAAAAAAAAACAACAAACTACTGACATCCATAGAGATAAGATGTATAAAGCACAGTAGTCCAAACAAACACAAACGGAAAAAAGGATACAGGTTGGATGAATTTAGTCCGTCCTCCTAATCCATCATATCCTGTTCTGACCTGGAGAGAAAACAACAACAATCAAGAGAAAAATAAAAGAAGCTGTAGTTTAAAAGCCAACTGTGTTGTACGTACGACTCCAGCCTTTCTCTGAGGGTCCAACATGCTTCCAAAGGTCTTCTTTCTGAAGAGAAGGGAGTTCCTCAAAAAAGGATCCAGAGCTTCGTCCTGAGGCTGCGATAATAAATTAATTCAGCACTGTGCGGATGGGTTAATAGAAAAACAGCTTAAAGAGACGACTGTAGGTTTACCTTGCTTAGAGAAGATGATTTCTCGCTGTGTTTCGACACAGACGATCTAGAAATAAAACACCGCAAGTTATTAAAAACATGAAAATCTTTTCTAAGGTGTTCTTGATCGACTGATTCATCTTTTAAACACAGTGACCAAAGAGCATACCCTGGTTGTTCGAGGCGCATCTTCTTTGAAGGAACTTTGGTCGGTCTCTTGGAAATGTCATCAGGAGTAGTGATGTCATAGGTCGCATCGAGATCGATGTCCTCTCCACGCGTCGGCTGGTGGAGGCGGGGAGGCTTCAGCTCCAGTGGGGCCGGGCTGCAGCGTGGGTGGGTAGAGAAAGGTCCCAGAGTAAATAGAAAGCTGCTTCAAAGCCAAGATGAGATTTAAACAGATCTGCAGAGGGATGCACCTTTCAAAGACAAGCCTGCTAAGGGCTTCATTTGTGCGTGTTGGTGTGCTCAGAGTCTTCTGAAGAAACTCGACTTTTTTCTTGAGACTCTAAGGATAAAATGGGAGCAGAATTTATCCCAAATCCCTCAGATAAAACAAGTGTGAGTTTATAGTTTGATCTGTTCTTACAGAAATCTCTCTGTCGGCATTGGCCAGATCTCTCTGCAGAGACTTCATGTCCTCTCTGGTCTGATTCACCTCCAGGGAAGCCTTTTGCAGCTATAATTACAGAAACAAAATATTACTAACATCCAGGAAGTTTTATCCTTGGGTGCTTGATTTAAAGCTTTGAGTGTAAAGCTACCTTGTTGTTAGAGGAGAGAACTTCTCTCTTCAACTTCTCACACATGTCATTGGAAGATTTTAGGCTTCCTTTGAGATTATCATACTCTCTGCAAATAGAGGAGAGGGTGGTGAAAACAGGAGAAAGAAATTACTAAAAAATACAATTATTCTTCATTCTTCTATAAATTATTTACATACAGCCCGCAATACAGTTTCTGATTCATCACCAACATATTTTTTCCCCATATGAATAAAAAGACTGTGACCAAAAGCAAACAAAACCTGAAATGTAGTTTCTCACACAAAGCTGCAAATGTTGTAATTTAGCACAAAGTTCACGGAAGAGGTAATTTTTGCATCCAACAATCAGCTTATGCTGCAAAGGATGAACTGTCCAGTAGCAGAGAAATTATTTCACGCTTCCACTACAACGTACAGAAAAGTCTGTCCATCCAATTCAGTGGTTCTCAAACTTATTTTTGCTTCCTTTTCAATTACATTTAGTAAATGATAAAATTGCTACACAATAAATCTCCTTTAAATCACAAAACTGCACATGTTAAAGTTGATTATTTCAGTTTAACCAGGTATTAGTAAACCCCTCCCCCATTTTGGGAACCTCTCAGCTAATCCGAGGTTAATCTGTGTTCAAAATGTGCTTCCTAATCTCCAGGTGAGGTGTCTCAGTATTTAGAAGCCAAGCACTGTGAGGAAACTGAGGATACAGGATTTCCTACCACTACATGCTGCTCTAGACTGACAAAATCAAATCAAATTATTAATAAATAGTCATGAATTGATGAGTATAAAAAACAAAATCTGCTTTAAATCAAGAAGCCCTCCCCTCCATTCCAGGTAGGAGAACCCCAGTATAATCTGGTTTTAGAATATGATCAACCTAGAGACAGTCCATCCAGGTGCTTGTATGCTTAAATGCAAAATGTTCATAAGTTTTCTTTTTTACACTTTTGGTTTAATTCCTGCTCTGAGTGGGCAGCTCTGTTAATTAAAGATATCTATACTCCAGTTACTACTAATCAATTACTAAGTTAGTTGATGATTATTTCAATAATAGATAAATCCAATTAATCAGCCTATTTGTACGTACTCCTCACCAACAGAGGGAGCTGAAAAATCATTTAAAATTGTCCAGACAAAAATGTAAATTTTTTTTCTTCTAACTAATATTCTTAAACCAATTTTCAGTTGTAACAGAAGACAAACAGTGGACTGCATATATAAATGAAGGTAGGATTATTGGAGGCCAGCTAGCGGTATCAGTTCCCTCATCCTCCAGGAGTTGCCTGCATATTCTTGTCACATGAAGTTGGCGAGAAACCAAGGACCAACTTCATCACCGAAGGGTCTTACAACTTTTCCAAGGATTTCCTCCTAATAGCAGTCAAGGAGCCATCATTCAGGCCTTTGAACCCCTTCAAAGATATGGCTAACTCAGGCCAACACTGACCCACCGCCACCCTGATCATGTTGAACAACATTACAGCATAATGTGGACTCAGCTTCTCCACTCTTATATCTGCCACATCAACTCAAATTTAACCTGCTCTCATTTGTGAAATTCTCTGGTAAATCCCATTTTGGCTCCATTGGGCCAGGCAGTGAGCACAGGGTCACACAGAGAACAATGGACCCTGAGGCTTCCTTTACAACTTCTGCTTCTATAAAGTTTGGATCAGAGATATTCACACCAGCGACCTGGTTAGGGCCACTTTTTAAGGCTCTAGCAGCATTCATCCTGTCCCTCCTTGCATAAAGGAGCATATATTGGTACTGCTGAAAGGTTAAGGACCTCACACAGTCCTTTCTGGTTCTCTTAGGGTAAATGTCTGTCTCCTGGAATCCCCTCAATGCTCTTGGGACTGTGTTGGGAGAAACAGTAAACCCTCCAGTACCATCATCTGTAGAGTTAACACAAAGCCTATCTAATTCTTAAAAAGTTAATCAAAGAAAAATAATGACTCAAATACCACCCACAGAAAAAAAACATCAGATGGAATCTTGATTGGCTAAAGAACATTTTTTTGCACCCATATTGACTTATGATCTCTGACCAAGCTTAATTTCCTCCAAAACACTGTAAAAAAAAAAAGAGGCTCCAGCTAAATCAGGGGGTTCTTACTTCTTTAGAGAGATGCAATAAATAGAGAGCTGCTCTACTGCTGCCTGGCTGACGCCCATATCTGTGATCATGGAATCAACTTCGTCTCGCTGACCGTGTAGCAACACATCCAGGCTGGAAAGACAACAGCAGAAACATTCACTCACAAGTCAACTTAAGTTGTTAATTTAAATTTATCATCAATATAAGCTAATTGTGTTTCTCTGACAATTAAATACTTAGGAACATGTAATTGTGGAAGATTACCCTTCAAAGGTTTTCATTTTAGTCCTCAGCCTGCGGACCTCCTCCTTCGCTGCCTGAACTTCATTCTGCTGCGTCTCCATATAAGCCATCTGTTTCTGTGAGATATTAAAATGTTACCTGATCCTCTAATAAAAATGGAGAGAATTTGTTGAAAACTAAAAACTAAAAGCCTCACTCTTAGGGCAATACAGATCATTTCCTTTTCCATGATCTCCTTCCGTATGTTGTCCAGGTCTCTCTTCTGCTTGTTGACGGTATCCTTTAAGCCGTCAATCACCTTCTGTTTTTCCCGCCAGTCTCGCTCTAGAAATGGATCAGACAGATGATCAGCCAGCCATAGAAACTTTCACATAAAGGCAGCACAGCCAGATTTTTTTTTTTGTTACCTTTAGAGCTTAACTGTGCCTTCATTCGGTCAAGCTCATTCTACGGGGAAACAAGATAAAAGATCTCAGCAGAAATAAGATGCTTAAATATTACAAGTATAAAAAAGAGAGTGCACAAGCTAGGTAGCAGAATTTATTTGTTTATTGACCTGACTAGCAAATTTGTTCATATCCTGAAATTCTAATTATTCCCCATAATGAAAAAAAAACTGCATGCACATTGATCCACTTAAATTAAAATAAATTTAAGAAAATGATGCTTTTGACTGGAAATGTGTTACCTGCAAGCTCTCTGGGTCTGCAGACCCCGCTTCCTCCTCTCCTCCAATGTCAAAAAACAGCTTGCTGATAATGTGCCTGGTGCTGACCTACATACAAAGAAAAAAAAAAGAAAAATCCCTTACTGTTATTTATTTATACAAAACAGTGGCAGGGTCAGATCAGGTTATATTTTTTGTTTTGCTGGTGTTTTGATGTAGCACCTGTTTCCTACACTGCGGGCAGGTTTTCGTAGGAGCAGTCTGAAACCACTGAAGAAGACTGAGGGGGAAATATAGAGGTAGATCAAAATGTTAAAAAGAATCGAAGAATATTATTCCAGTTTGATAGTTAAAATTAACCTACCATTCATAATGAAAAGTGTGCCCACAGTGAATTGCTGCCACATCTCTAGCGTGATCGAAGAAATCCGAGCAGATTGTACAATATGCTCGGATAGGCATTTTCTTCTGCCAAATCAGCTAGGCCTATACGCGTTACAAAAGAAACCACATATATACATATGAAGAAGAAACGGCCTTTATATCACACATTCAATCATTGTGTTTAACACTGAATATTTCAAACTAAATGTCGTTGTTTAATGAAACTAAAGCTAAAGTTAGCTAACAGTTACGCTATTTGGCTGTTAGCTGCATTACCGATCTTCATACTTACGAAACAAATACTTTAGGTTACAGCGCAGTCATTAGTAACAACTGCAAGCATTCCTAAATATATATGTGTTTTTATTTTTTCTTTTACTTTTATTTTACCGGGTTAGCAACAACTCAAAGGCCAAAATATCAGGAGCTAGAGAGGCACAACACTTCCTCCATCTGTATCTCCGCGCGAGACGTTCAAACTTAAGCCCCGCCCCCCAAACGGTGCGTTCACGGTGTTCCTTCTGCGTAGGTTTTATATGTTGAGGATTGTACAGTTATCCTGAAAAAATGATCTGCCGTGACACAAAACACTGAAACCAAGGGTTTAACTTTGCGATAAAAGTTGGTGGGGACGCTCTAAGGGTGGTGGCTGATGGACCTACAGCTACTCAACCTGAACGCTTTAAACAGGGTTTATATTTTCCAAAAATTAGCTCAAACATATATTTATTGAATGCTTTCCTATTGTTGAGAACACAAGAGTACCACAGTACACTGGTATTTAGTCATAGACAGATGCCTGCCTTTAGTGCATTATTTATAAAGGACTTAAAAAAAACAATGACGAATAGCAGGCGATACCAACGCCAACAGCAATATATCATGCATCCCTAGTATGGACACAAATTTAATTCCATCAATCCATCCATTAAAATAAACACTTTTTTTCATGATCGGACCTGACCAATACCAATTTTTAAGTATTTAACGTTTTAAAATAATTTGTCTTTTTAGTTTATGCTGGGGTCTTTTTTTTTTTTTTTTTGAAGAATAGGAACTTCATTTCCCACAGTTCCCTCTTCCGACCGTATGCTGATGCTGACAGGCAGCAGAAGTGCTTTAGTTTAGTGCAGCTAGCTTGTGCAGCAGTTTCATGCGAGCGGTGGATAAACCGACTGAAACCTGACGGCAGCGGAGATGAAAGGTAAAAATATGGGACGTGTTGATTTTGTAATATAAATATTCATTTTAGAACCCGAATTAGACCTAGCTGGCGTAAGATATGGAGTAAGCAGTTGTAAAAGCCTTTGAAGTTCTCCTTTAGGTTATACCTCTGTTGAAATAAACCATATGAGAGAACATTATCCCCCTGCAACACTATTTTTGGTTCCTCTGTCTAGTTTCAGTTCAATAAGTTGCCAGTTAGTTCTGAAGCCACTTTAGGCTTCAGAATAACGATTCAGCATTAAGAGGCTCCTGAGCGAACTTTGGACCCAGCTGACGGTGTCCGTCATTGTCCTGCCAGGTGTGCGTCTCCCCCGGAAGTAGAAGCTATGGATGGAGAAACCGGAAAGGCGACCGCGTCCTGGGAAAGCGGTTTGCTGGCTCCTGTGGATCGGCTTCGCTTGGACAGGGCGGACAGCCCAACCCCGGGTCTGGTGGAGGGAACCGAGCCAGGTGACCATGTTGTCAGCAGTTACCATAAAAATGCAATTGGAGCGGTTTATGTGTGTGTGTGTGTGTGTGTGTATGTGTGTGTGTGTGTGTGATATCCACATTCCCTTTTTTCTTTCTTCTGTAGATTTCTTTTCTTTTCAGATATGGGTTATTAGGATTCAGTCTGCAGCGATTATTTTCTCAGCCTTTACAGTAGCAGCTCTTCTATGTTAAAAACTAACATCCCAACAGCATGATGCTGCCATCACCATGTTTTACCATGGGGACCTAAACTAAGCTGTTTTTTTAAGCCACAGAGAAACATTTTTTTATTATCAAGATGTTCCATTAGAAGGAATAGTACACCCATGATTAGCCTTCATTTTCTACTCACCCCCATGCTGAACAACACTCTGGAGTACTTTTTTGATATCTCAAATGCATCTGGAGATCTGGGAGGCTTCTTGCTTTCTGCTGACATTCAAATAATGGAGGTCTGTGGCGCCCGAGGCAGAAAGGTCCATAAAAGTCCACAAAAAACGTGTCAATATTCCTCCATACTGCTCGTCCAATGTATTCCAAGTGTCCTGAGTGGGTAGCATCCAGAATTTACTCGAAACAAAGTCATTTAGAATGTTTTTAGAGCATAAACAGTAGTGTATAGGATTTCCTGAAAGCGCGCGCCTGCGAGTTCACGACGCTACGGAAACCGCGACAGACCAAACCAGATGAAAGTGCGCATTTAGCTCGGCAAAGAACTCATGCTCTTCCTCAACACTGAAGTCCTCAGACATTTTTCTTTCGTTGTTTCTTTCTTTGCACAGGTAAACAGCACATTTCTTCTTCTACGCTTGCATTATCGGCAGAGCAGACACTGAATGCGCACTTTCATCTGGTTTGGTCTGCCGGCTTCCGTAGCGTCGTGAACGCGCAGGCGCGCGCTTTCAGGAAATCCTATACACTACTGTTTATGCTCTAAAAACATTCTAAATGACTTCGTTTCGAGTAAATTCTGAATGCTACCCACTCAGGACACTTGGAATACATTGGACGAGCAGTATGGAGGAATATTGACACGTTTTTTGTGGACTTTTATGGACCTTTCTGTCTCGGGCACCATAGACCTCCATTATTTGAATGTCAGCAGACAGCAAGAAGCCTCCCAGATCTCCAGATGCATTTGAGATATCAAAAAAGTACTCCAGAGTGTTGTTCAGCATGGGGGTGAGTAGAAAATGAAGGCTAATCATGTTTTGGGTGTACTATTCCTTTAAAGGCAGATCTGTGGATGTTACCAGGTATAGATATCCTATGCACATATTTCAATATTTGAGCTCCTACTTTCTGCTAATTCTCCACAGATACTGTAATGCACAGCTCCCTCTGTGAGTACTGCTCGCTTTGGCCACCCTGTCAGTTAGGTGGGCAGCCTTGGGTGGGATACCATTAACAAAATTTATTGGAAAATTGCTTGAGTAAGCTAGGGATGTGATTGAATGTCACATCTGACTCAGCGCTAAGCTAACGTTTCTCCTTGACCTGTCTGCTGAGTTCCTTGGCCTTTGTAATGCTGTTTGTTAATTCATGTGCTACTCCAAACCTCTGAAGCCTTCACAGAACCGCTGGATGCATACTGAGATAAAAGCTTTTATTACTAATTGTGGGAGCTCCTAATGCTCAGGGTTTTTTGGCTTGAAGGCGGATGAACATCAGTGCAAGGCTCATTAGGCACAAGGTGTGTTTCCATCAGCTTTTTCTAATGCACATTTTGATAAGTTTGATAGAAACGGCAAAATTCTAATAAACTCTTTAAAAGTTGCAAAAAAGTTGTTACCCTCACTTGAGTTGGTTTTTGGCTTTTGAGAAAAAAGGTTAGTGTTATAAACTTTTCAAATTGGATTGGACGTAGCGAGCATTTACTAACAATGACTGATCAGCTGTCCTGAAGCTGGCGTCTTCCTATTATGGGTATAAACATGGCTGGAAGTAGCATCACAATTACTAGCTGACATGTCATAAGAAAATTCCTGATCATGACACATTAATTACAACCTTTACCCCCATAACTGATCTGTGGTCTTTGCAGTGATTGGTTAATTCGCTTCAAGCCAATGGAATCACTGCAAATTCGCATTTCCTTTTTTTTTTGGAATTTAAAAGTTTTCTCAAAATTCGAATTTCATTTAAACAGAAACGGCTAGATTTTGGTTTCGAAAAGTGTCTTCTCTTTCAGTTTTTATTTATTTTATTTTTTTCGGCAGCACAGATTTTTGAGATTTAAACACAAAACCTGAAAAGGTTTTATATGAAACTTGTGTGCAAACCAAAAACAAAAAACAATCCAACTTGCTAACAGTACAGCCTTGTAGAACATTACGAGTAAAAAGAAGTTGCGTATTAAAGTCTAATGTTTAATTCGTATAAACATCTGTCTCCTATAGTCTTAAAAACAAGCTGTAAGTCAGCGTTATGAAGAATGTTTAAAATTTCAAGAATAATCCGTTGTATGCATGGGTAGATTTTCATTGTACCAGCAGTATTTTCTCAAAGGCTCATATTAAGTGCGGTTGGCCTGTGAATTGGCATGAATGTGCACATTCTAGGCATGCAAAATAAAGCAGAACATCAGTCTTTAGCTCTGTTTCTTATAAAGACAGGGAGAAATGCAGAGTTGGGCTAGATTCAGAAGTGATCACATGTTTTCACAAGAGCAAACAGTAGGAGCACAATGCCAAGGGAGTTTAAATCCCTTTGAAAATGTCTAATGTTTACAAGCAGACTAAAGTGAAACCCACACCAAAAAGCAAGGAGGAAGAAGCAGCAACCGGTATCAGAACATGTAACTTCCAACGGTAGTGAAGAACCTGCTGCATTTGTGGGCGGCTGCAAGTGAAAATGTTGTGGGGCTGGATAAGAAAACCAGAAGTCCAAACTTTGTTCTAATTCCTCCCAAAGATGTTCTATTAAGTTGAGATCAGGACCCTGAGTTGGCCGGTCACGTTTCTCAACATCATGCAGCCATGGGAGCGGCGTGACCCATTACTTTGGGTAATATGGTGACTCATGTTCACAATGACGAGGGAGGAATAAGCTTTTATTTCCACCAGTTTACTACTGGTTTGGTAGTTTTGGCGCCCCCACATGGTCCATCTCAGAACAGATATGGTAGGCACCAATGCTTTATAATTAATTCATTACCTCTTTCTCTCCTTTTCCATTTGCCATCCTAACTTCTCTTATTATGACTATTAATATTGAATATATATGCTAGTATGTACATTTTTCAATGTACATCAACAGATGTTCATCAATACATTTGCCTGTTGGACATTTGGGACAAAGTCTATGAAAAAAAAATATATATATATCTAGGTATTCTTTTTAGTCCTTGCTGCCCAGCCCAAAAAGTTACCAACCTATCTTTCAATTTTTGGAAAGTTTTCACTTGGACATGAAAAATCTGGAATCTGATTGAGCTGCTGTGTTCATGGATCCCAGGGAGATGAGGTTTAGGATCGGGGGATGTTTTGACTAATGGACTGTTGGTTAACCACCATTATTAGTGTGCAGCTCTAAGTTCTTTTTGTGGTAATTATGTAGAAATGGCCTTTTAATGCTCTCCATTAAATGAGACAAAGAGTAATCTGTTGCATTTAGAATACCTAAAAACTGGACTGTCTTTGTTATACATTATGCTGTCTATCTTTGAACAAATATTGTTATTTATGTCATCTTTCGTCGATATAGGTGCTGGTCAGAAGAGTGCTATTTTTTACCATGCTCAATCCTATGAGGACCTGACTGCTGAGGCTGAGAAAGAAGCCCAGAGGGCCTCGGAACCACATGGTTCAGAGGGACACGATGGCGAGGAGTTCAGCACGTTGGTGGGAAAGAAATCCACTGAAGAGCGGCTCAACAGTGACACCTCATCTGAGAGCAGAGGTAAAGAGGAAGACGTATCCAGTGAAGCGTGGAGGAGTCACAAAAAACACGTGTTTGTGTTGAGCGAAGCCGGAAAGCCGATTTACACCCGCTATGGTACGGAGGAGGCTCTGTCCAGCACAATGGGGGTCATGATGGCTTTGGTGTCCTTCGTAGAGGCAGAGAAAAACATCATCCGTTCCATCCATGCTGGTAAGAGAATGCTTTAAAATTCTCTGGGCATGTCCTGTTCACGATGTTTCGGTTGCTAAAACTGACCTAAAGAATGTTGAAGAATCAATCATCTGTCAATAGAGTCCCAGCTCAGTGCTTCAGTTAGAAAAATAAAAAATAAATCTTACATTAAGGCTCTGTTATTTTAAAGTTTAGTAAATAACAAATAAAAAACTTGTTTATTTTCAGCTTGAGTTTCTTCAATAGACAGATTCAGCATCAAATCACCTCCTTTCCTCCACATAATACAGCAGCCTGCTTTAAGGAAAACAGGATATAAGGTTTGAATGAAGGTCAACTTTTGGGATGTTAGATCTAACAAAAGCTCAAAGCAAATTAGTTTTAAATTGTTTAGCTATTTTATTATTAATTCAAACACCAGAAAGGGAAGTTCCTTTTTGTAATCTGTACTTTTAGTTAGAGCATAGTAACTCCTATTTAAGCTGCAACCTAAGCAAAAATCATCAGGATAAACAGAAATAAAGGTTTAAAAACATTCTTCTGAGTGTAATTAACCTATTTTGTTTGGTTTTGTTAATTAAGTTACTGAAATAGTTGAAATCTTTAAAAGAAAAAATATGAAAATACCCCACTGCAATTCAAAAATACTTTGTCAAAAACAAAGGGAAAGTTTCAGGAACTCATAGGTTTTTTGTTCTTTCTTCATCGAGTTGTTGTAGATGTTGAAAGCTGTAGGCAAGAAGGATCTCCTGTAGCGGTCTGTTTTGCACCGGATCCGAAGAAGGCTTTGACTGAAGATCCTTTGTAGTTGTTTAAAAATCCTCATTGAGGAAGGTCAATATTGTCCATAATCTTCTTCACTTTATGAAGAATTCTCCTTTGGAAAACGATCTCCAGAGTGTCTAGAGGAGTTCCTATAACTGAGCCGGCCTTCTTTATTAGTTTGTTGAGCTTTTTTAAGTCATGCCTTCTGATGCTGCCACCTCAGCAGATGATGTGGGAAGAGATCATGCTTTCCACAACAGACTAATAGAAAATATGAAGCATCTTTTTGCAAATGCCAAAGGACCTAAGCCCTATTAGGAAGTACAACCTGCTCTGTTCCTTTTTCTAGATGGTTTTACAGTTGCCTTTTGTTGTCCAACTGAACACCAAGGTATTTATATTCCTCCACTACCTCCACTTCTTCTACCATGACGTTAACAGGGTTAAACTTGTTCCTGTTTCTTCTGAAATCTACAATCATCTCCATTGTTTTGTAGAGATTCAGTATCCTATGATTGTTTCATTAATAAAAAATTTAAAAATTGTCATTAATAAAAAAAAAAAATCCTTCCAGTTTTACAGCAGTTCTTGTTAAAAAGGAAATCAGAGTCAAGCTAGCAGTTCCTACTTGCAGCCACCTTACGCAGTGCAATTCTAAAACAGGTAAGGGAATTTCTAGGTGATCTAATACTATTTATTTTTGTAATAGATAGATAAGATAAAATAAGGCGTGAAGTATAATTTTAAATGTATTCCTAAAATGAGGAAAAGCCCAAGGATTATAGTTGATGTTGGTGATAAAGGTCAAGCATCAATTAAATGGAACACTTTAATTTCATACTAATTGGGTATGATTGACTATTCTTTTATCCAGTTACTTTCCTGTTTTTCTATAGTACTGCCAGTCAGTAAACTTAATTAATTGACATTTATTTATATGATTTAAGTATCTAAATGGCAGTACTGTCTTAAAAGGAGAGCAGTTTGCTGAGAACTTTGTATACATCAAACATCTCTATGTGAACATAATCTAAAAGGGTGGAAAACACACATTCTTTGGAAAAGAAAAAACAGTTACATCTATGAAAAAATAAATGTTTGCAGCTGTGGACATAAGAAGAGGGTTTGTAATTGGTAGAAAACTGGCTGTTTAAAATGCAGCTGCATTACTAACTGGAGCTGCTGCCAAGAAACTGATAGACCAGCGATAGTAGAAGTTGATAAACCTTCTGGGACTCTTGGTACTGATGGTTTCAAAAATGTTTTGATTGGCAGCCAGGATGTCCCTCATAGCAACAGCTTCAGCCATCTTAAGTCAAGCAACTAAACAGTATTTAATCCTATTTCAGATGGTTGTAAGGTGGTTTTCCTTACCAAAAGTCCGCTGGTTCTGGTGGGTGTGTCTAAGACCGGTCAGTCAGAGAAGGAGCTGCTCCGGGAACTTCAGTACATCTACTACCAGATCGTCAGCCTACTCACTCTCACCCAGCTCAACCACATCTTTCAGCACAAGCAGAACTACGACCTGCGCCGCCTACTCGCTGGCTCAGAGTACCTTACAGACAACCTGCTGCGCCGACTGGAGCGAGACCCAGGCCTGCTGCTCAGCGCTGTCACCTGCCTGCCTCTGGCCAGCTCTGCCAGGGACGTGGTCTCATCCAGCCTCCAGGCAGCCAAAGCCAAGAACCTGGTGTTCTCCATCCTTCTGGCAGGGGACCGCCTGGTTACTCTGGTCAGGAAGAAGGACCAGTTCCTGCATCACATAGACTTGCATCTGGTCTTTAACCTCGTCGGCTCTTCTTCATCCTTCCGGGAGGGCGAGGGCTGGACGCCAATCTGCCTTCCAAAGTTCAATACAGCTGGATTTTTTCACGCTCACATTTCATACCTGGAGCCTGCCTCTGAGCTCTGCCTCATCCTGGTCTCAACTGACAGAGAGGACTTCTTTAACATGTCTGAGTGTAAGCAGCGCTTCATGGAGAGGCTGAGTAAACGTAGCGCCTACCAGGCCATGAAGGAGGCGCTCAAATGCCCAAACTACTCCGTGGCCCAGGTTGGAATCCCAGAACTCAGACACTTCCTGTACAAATCAAAAAGCTCAGGCTTGTACACCAGGTGAGAGGTGGTGTGTGATTAAAATAATTAGTTATTTTCTACTTAATTTATTAATCAGCAGGTTCTTTATGCTACAGTCCTGTTTGTGCATGACTTTTTGTTTTTATTCCAGCCCAGAGTTTCCTGAGGTGTACCAGTCTGATGAGGAGCAGGAGAGGCTGATGGGACTCTACCAGGACCTTCACAGCTGCTTGCACCATCCAACCAGGCCGCTCCGCTCCTTCTACCGCTGCAGTGAAGCTGAAAACCTGCTAGCCTGGGTTAGTGTCACTAACTGGGTGCTAGTGGTCCTCTATCCTTAGAAACTGAAAAATATAATGCAAAAGAAACTTCATTTTACTTTGGGTTAGGGTTCCTACACTTGTTTTTTTCTCTCTGTAGTCCTCAATGATCCATATTTTGTATTGGGTTTTATTACTTTAAGCTTCACATGCTTGAAGCATCACAAAGGGAAGATAGGAAGGTTTAAATAGGAAGGTTTAATAAGCAGAGAGCAGACCAAATCTCTTTTTTTTTTAGCCAAGTGAGACTCAAGTTTTACCTTTTTTTTTACCTCTCAATTCAAGGTATAGATGTTGAGTCAAGTGCAGTCACAATTTTATTTTATATATATATATACATATATATATATATATATATATATATATATATTAGGGCTGCAACTAACAATTATTTTGCAAATTGATTAATCTTTAATGGCATTTTGCTTTAACTCGTTGCACTCTACAAAAAAAAATGGAACCAGAATTTCAAAGAAATTGTGTATCTGTGAATTATTTTTTGGATGAATATATATATATATATATATATATATATATATATATATATATATATATATATAAAATTAGGACTAAAGCAATTATTAATCCTCATGATTAATTGATTATTTAAATAATAATCAATTAGTTTAATAATAGATTAATTGTCAAATGGAGTATAGAGACTAGAAATCATGCCTTTAGATGAGAGTGACCCACTTGGAGCAGTTCTTATATCAAAATTGTAAAAAAAAAATAATAAGTTAACATTTTGCATATACATATTCATTTTAAGATTTTACTTTTTCTTCTATGAAAAAGACATGTATACATACACGCATACATGTGTGTATATATACCTACATATATCCATCCATCCATTTTCTGACACGCTTTATCCCTACTGGGGTCGCGAGGGGTGCTGGTACATATCTCTAGCTGTCTACGGGCAAGAGGCGGGGTACACCCTGTCACCAGTCCATCGCAGGGCAACACAGAGACAAACAACCATTCATACACACACTCACTTCTACGGAGAATTTAGAGAAGCCAATTAACCTAACAGTCATGTTTTTGGACTGTGGGAGGAAGCCAGAGTATAGTTTTGTGATTAGTGTTTTAAATGGCACCACTTTCTTTTCATGTGGGAGTGGAACAGAAATAAAATCTGTCTACCACTGGTGTTGTGTTTACCTTTCCACCTTGCTCCCTCAGGAGGATTAGTCCTGTGGTCTTTGATCCCCCAGCAGGCACATTTATTAAATGCACACTCCTAGTGTTTTTAGTCATGTAATAAAAACCTGCTGAAACCAGTCGGCTAGGATGAAATCCAAGAATGTTTTTTTTTTCTCTCCAAGACCTGAGGACTGAAGGTTTGTTGCATGTCTACAGGTTTAGCCATGCTCTGGTTCTTTTTCCTTTGAATATCAATGGCAATAAATATTGCCAGGTACCTGAGTGAAATTGGTTATGTATTTTTTCTGAAAATCTCAAAATTGTTCTTGGAGAAAGAGTAGTAAACTATCGTTGAATGTTATGCTATGCTTCATTTTCATGCTACTTTTCCTTTTCTGCTCCCCCCCCCTGCAGGTGACAAGTGGCTTCGAGCTCTACCTCTGCTTCAGCCCAATGTCGACTAAGGCCTTGGCAGTCTCTGCTGTCAACAAACTTCTGAAGTGGATCAGGAAGGAGGAGGATCGCCTTTTTATTCTCAGTCCGCTCACTTATTGAGCCTTCAATTCTGATGATTAGAACTTTAGATGATTAGAACTTTGTTTACTCTGTCCAGCTTTTTTCCAATGACCTCATGGGACGATGAACCTGCACTCATCTCACTGTGACAACAGATTGTCAAAGATTTGCATTTCATGATTCTTGGACCCACTAATTCCTTATTTTGTTACTTTATGGGCTCTTCAATAGAGGGTTAATTAAAGCAGTATTTTACCTGGAAAAATTTTAAATAGTTTTATTTAAAAAAACAAGAGATTGATGCAGTCGCCTCAGCTTAGACAGAAACATGTAGTTTGTGCTATTGAAGTTCTTAATAAAGACTTGTTTTACTAACATAGCTATCATGCTTCTAAGAAAAACACTGTTTTTTTAAAGCTATTATATTTCTTATGAATTTAAAGTGAAAATATGTCTTACTAACTCCCAAACTGCAGGAGCATGTTCTACTCTCTTTGAAGACCGACTAGCAAAAACCTGTCGAGCCTTGTCGATTCTAGGAAACACTGCTGCTTTCCCTCTATGCACTTCTATTCCTTAAAGAGACACTCCATAAAAGAGACTGGAGCTATTCACTGTGCTTTTAAGTTTGCGTCGTTTATCTTGATATAAACCGTTTATCTTCTAGTGTCCAAATGCATGAGTTTCTCCAGCTAATGTGCCATTTTATTTCTTTAACTTGAAAACTACCTTTTGATGCATTTTTCAGACCAAACGGGTGATCTGTGTTTCCCTGAATTTTGTTTTGCAACATTTGCCTCCCCTAATCATGCCTTAAATAATTGGTATCGTGCAAAGCTGCATATTTATAGCAGGTGCATTTTACGAATAAATAAGAGAAAAATCAAAGCCTTTGTCATCCTTGAATAATACCATGATGAAAACATGCAGATAACACACCACTATATGTATATGCTGTTGCCTAAACAAAAGAACTGTACGCACAGGGGCAGATCAAAACAGGCCTTTAGGGTTATATATAAAGATGAATGTAAGGTAGGAATTTGAATGGGATTTTTCAAATAAAAGTTGCATGAGATTCAAAATTAGTTCATGGTTCAAATAATACATTTATGTCCAGCTAAAAAAAATAAAAATTAAAATCACTCATAAGTCATATGCAGGGATAAATGTAGAGATAAATTTCCCCAGTGTGAGATCAATAAAGTTAAACTATTATATAAATTCAGTAACAGATGTATATTTAATTCTAGTAAATGGAAATCCCAAATTGTTTCTAAAATTCTGTGGTTATGAGACCATTAAAACTCAAATATGTCACATAATCCAATGGATCAATGTAGAAACTACAGACTTGATACTATTCAAACATATTTCTGCAATGTCTTAAATGCATTTAAGACTTTTTGGGGAAATTATCTATC